CTGCTGTGCCATAACAATGCCTTGTGATCGTAGCTGATGAACACATGCTCCCTGACGTCTTCTTGTCACTGTTATTATAACACACAGATTGGGGCCCTGCCCATGGCAGACTTCCCTGAGGGAGAGCACGTTGCTCTGTTTTCAAGGACGTTCTGTGCACATCGGCCTCTCCCCAGACACGGGCACTTCTGCTGCATTAGAAGCCACCCTTCCTTCTCTCTGGCCCCGCAGGTGACCTCAGGTATGTGTAGCGGCTTAAGGGTGTGGGCTGGGCTGGCCCGAGGTTTCTCCGCTATGCACGTTGCTCCAGCTGGTGGGAATGTAGCAAGTAGCCCCCAGACATTCCTGACCACCTCTCAGAACACCAAGGGGTCAAATGTGTAGCAGGAAGCCTCTATTCATTGTGTAGTTAGAGGAAATGGAGACCCTGGAGAAAATGAACATCTTACTCAGAGTCACAAAACAGATTATAAACTGAGTCAAGCCTGGAACCCAGATCAGGGTCCCTTCTCCACACCCACAGCACTAGGCAGGTCCCAGAGTCCCAACCTCCGTGAACATGTGGTGTCCATGCACCCATCATGGGCTGGAGGGCCCATTAGAGATGACCTGGTCCTGATCTGGCGAACATGCAGTCGTTCCACTCTTCCCTCCTGAACTTGGGGCAGACATCACTAATCAATCCAGCCCTCCAAGCCCAGGAGTCGCCTGGGAGGGCTTCTCTGCAGAAAGCTCCATCCAGCCCCTACAATTAATCAGGTGTACATGATACCAGAGTTCTTGGAATCTCTAACATGGTCCTGACAGGAAGTTAAGGCTTAGTGAGGAACTGCACCTCCCAAAGCTTATACACCAGTCACCAGGGAGCCAGAACTTATAGACACAGGTGCCAGGAAGTCTGAGCCCATCTAGGTCATGTGGTTTTTATAGTGCACACAATAAGAAATCTGGTTTCCATTGATTAAGCAGAAAGCATATTGGATGCTTGGTCTCCTCCCTTCATCCTCTCCATAAGCCTGTGCAGTGGGGTCATGTACAGATGGGACACCTGAGGTGTAATTATAGTATCATCATCAGTGTTGTAACTGTGTATTCGGAGCCTACACACAGCATCCCTCCGCGTCCTCACAGCACACCTGGGAGGAGACTCCCATACTTGGTCTCATTTTGCACACTAGGGACCTGAGGTTCAGGGAGATGCAGTCCCTTGTCCAGGCCTCAAGCCAGCAACAGGGAAAGAGAGGATTAGAAAGCAGTCTGCCCGAATCCAGAACTGGGGTCTGATCACCGTCCCCTTGGTACCCTTTTAATTTCCATTTTGCCACGGGGATCCAGGTGCCAGGTTGTTTACCTACTTTACAAGGAGGCAGCGGAAGCCTGAGGCCAACTCCAGGTCTGAGTTCATTACATCACTCCCCACCCCCTGGGTCGAAGTCTTGAGGTGAGAACAAGTCTCTCCACAAGATTTTCCTCAGATCCCTCAGCTCTGTGCCCACAACCAGGGGAAGAGAGACCTCAGATGTGTACAAACCAGGCTCAGACATTGTGGAGGGTGGTCTGCTGACGGATCCAAGGCCCTGCTGGATGGGGTCCTCCATGTCCCAGCACCGGGCTTGGGCACCTGGGCTGCCACCTTCTCCCTGCTCTGTGCTCTGATGGTGGGAGCACAGTTATGGTGAGGAAGGCTGGTTCCTCAAGCCTCCAGCCCTGCCTGTACTTTGTCCTAGCTGAGTTCATCCGGTTCCTACTGAGACGCAGGTGGGGGACCGGAGGAGATGGGCATGGGTGACCCAGAGGTCTCTGCTGGTGCTATAAGCCCGATGCCAAGTGGGCACCCATCTGGGCTTCCTGGACCAGGTGTTCCGTGTTGACATGGGCCCAATACACCAGGCATAACAACCAACTCAAACAGCAGACATCGAGGAATAAGCAGACATTCGAGTCCAAGTTCTCACCTGCCCCACCAGCTGGTCTCAATGTGACCTGACTGTCCCTGTGGATGCAAATGCTGGGTTTCTGTGCTTGTGAAACCTAGACCAGCCACCTCCCTTCCCTGGACCTCAGTATCCTCAACTAGAAAATGAGGTTTTCCATGCCTACTATGTGGGTTGTCGTGAGCACCAATGGCGAAAGTGCACCCGCAGTGCCAAGTCATTCGCCTGGGTCACAGTCTCCCTAGACTTTCCAGCAAAGAGGTTAAAATGATGATCTCTAAGCTCTCTTGTGACTTTGATATCTGTTATGTTTCCAGTGTGGTTGTGTGACGCTTGAGTAGGCGTCAGATTGGAGGAGGAAGACTTGAGTCTACAAATGTGTTTCCAGGACTTCCTGTCGATTTGAATGGCAGGAGCTGACTCTCCCTGGCTTCAAGAAAAATAAAAAATAGGAAGTGAGACATGTATTTGAATTGAAATTTTTGTGGCAAGGAGGACTTCAGGCACACTTAGACCAAGACACTATAACAATATTTTGTCTCATCCCCTTTGTACAGCTTCTTTTTCTAGTGAACTTTGCCAAAATATTTGTATATAAATACTATCTTGAGGACAAAGCAGACCCAGGCAACATGTGAAGACCTAAAGCCCCCTTGTGAGTCATGAGATCTAGCCCAGGATTTTTCAATTTCTTTTACATTTTTAAAGCACCAATATTAACCAATATTAACCAATTTGGTTAACATTTTCAATTATTTTTCTCTTCTTATTTAATTTATTCCTCTTGTAATCTTTATTGTACTTCCTGAGTGGTTACTTAGGTCTTAGTTATTCTTCTTTTTCTAATCCATTAAGGCACATTGGTAGGTTGTTTATTTGGATTTTTCTTGCTTCTTTATGTAGGTATTTATTTCTATTCTTCACATTTTAGCACTAGGGATATTATATACAATATGGTACCTATAACTAGCAGTGATGTACGATATATATAGAAAGTTTGTTAAGAGAGCAAATTCTAAGAGTTCTCATCACAAGGAAAAACTGTTTTTCTTTTTTATTGAATCCATATGAGAACTTGAATATTAGCTTAATCTATCGCACAGAAATCAAACTGTTGTCTTCAATTTATACAGTGTTGAATGTCAATTTTTCTCACCAAAAAATGGGGGAAAGATTAGTAAAAATAAAGTGTAAACTGTTTTTATGAGAGCTGAAACTTCCTGAACCCTCTGTCTGTATGGGACAATGATGACAAGATAGCTTGGGTAGAGCTACCAATTAGAAAACATGGTCTCTTTGTCGGGGCAACATTGAGGAGTGGCCCCCACTTACCAGGAGACAGCTCCTGAGCAGAGTGGTGGGCAGAGGAGGATTGAGAAGCTGGAGGGAGGGAAGGAATGATGACCAGGGGGTGGAACAGCCTGGACAAAGGCTCAGCACTGACCCGAGTGGGCTACTGCTCAAGAGAAGCCCTGAATTGTGAGACCTCCCTGTATGCTGTTGTGGGAGTTGGGATTGTCACAAAATATAGACAGAGAAAGTGCTCATCCCTTTGCTATGCCCAGCATGGGAAGAACCAGCTCCGGAAGAGACTGACTTCACCTGAAATCTAGCTTTGCGTCTGACTGGCTGTGTGGCCCTGGAGAAGTTACTTTCCCTCTCTGAGACTCAGTTGCCACACCTCCTCCAGGAACCATTCACTGAATCACTCAGTAGAAATCAGAATCTAATGAGATACAGTGTATAAAGACTTCATATGTGCTTTCTCAACACTGTTTGACAGCAATTCCAGTGTGTGGAGGCTGACATTCATTTGTGCTCACCAGGGTCAGACTCTGGTAAAGCACTTTCCACTCACTGACTCATTTCATTCTCACAACACAACGAGGGAGGTTTTCCTGTTAACTCCATTGGCAGGTTTGAGGACTGTGGTTCTGAGAGGTTAAGTAAGTTGGCTGAGATCACACAGCTGGCAACAGCAGAGGCCAGGTCATGCTCAGCTCTGTCCAACCTCTCACCTCACGCTGTGTTAGAAGCCCCGGCATAGCCTGAACTGAGGTCTCTTGGGAGAGCTGGTCCAAGGCCTCCCAGCGGCCCCAGGGGCTCAAGGGCCTCCTGAGATGACTTGACCTTGTGAGGCATCCTTTAGACAGAAGATTCTTGAGTGAAGCAGCAGCTGGTGCAGGCCTCTGTTTGATCCTGGCCTCTTTTAACCCAAGTCTCCCATGAAGACGACAGTGGTTCTTCGCTCACAGAATTGCACACAGCACCGAGATGACTCCTTGGCAACATGGAAAAATATTCCCTGGGCCTCTTGGCAGGAAAGTCAGATGGCCTCCTGGAAAGGAGAGGCTTGGGGACCCTGAGGTGATAGCTTGGGTCCGTCCTCTGCAGAGGTGACACAGCTGTGAATAAGGGGTGCTGTGCACCACATTCAAGGCAAAGGGGAAACTGAGGGCTTGCACACTGAGGAGACAGAAGGGCCCCAAGAGGGACCTCATCATTTCTGGGTGGGAGAGATCAAGGCCAGGACTTCGAGACCTGCTGGGCGCTGGGGAGAGGTGTCTGAGTACTGGGAGATGGGACGTCACCTCTCTGAGCAAGGGATCCCATAACCATGGGTTTAAATCCTAGTCCTGCCAGTTGCCACCCTGTAACCTAGATGTGTCGCTTGTCCTTTATGAGCCTCAGTTTCCTAATCTGTAAAATGGAGACAAGAACAGAAGGGTGCTGTGAGGAGGTCATGAGGTCAGGTGTGCTGGTGAAGGCAGCGCTCCATCGTGGCGGTGTTGTAGCAGAAGCAGAGAGAGGCCATCTCTATGTGACCTCAGGTCACCTGCTTGCCCATCCTGGGCCTCAGTGGTCCCATTCGTAAGACACGGAAGTGGGGCTGGATAATCCCAAAATTTCCTTCCAGCTTTGGATCCAGGTCTCCGCTGCCCTGATTGCCCATACCTTGCCTTCCCTGAAATCCCAATGGAAGGAATGCAGGACCACACAGGAGGTGCAGAAATGGCTTTTTATTGCTGGGGGTGGAGGGTGATGAGCATAGGATGTCCTGACTGTGAGCATGAGTATCTGAGAGGCATCCTTTGACTGGATTCGGTTGTCACTCCTGGGGGATGGTGGCAGGACCAACTGTCCCAGAGGGAGACGGGTCAGAGATTCATTCAAGTCTCTGGGAACCAAGCTGGAAGGAGACCCCAGTGTGAGGTATGGACATCCTGGGCCCTTACCTGCTCCTGCATTCACAGTACAGCTGCCGGAGTGCTTCCCCCCAAATGGTGGGAGCTCTGAGGCTTGGGGAGGGACTGGCACCGGTGGTTTGGGGTCTTTCTCTGGCACCTGGCACTGACCCCCTCCCACCCTCTCGCTAACAACAATGGCTGATGTGAAAAGACTGATCTGGGGCCATGATGCTTCGGGGTTCGGGGCTCAGTATATGATCAGGATCAAGGATCAGACAGATACAGGAGAGGTCTCTATCCATGACCAGCGTCAGGGCTCAGTCAGCAACTCGAGTGAAAGCTATGTCTGACTATGTTCTGGGCTCAGTCAGGGAGCAGAATCAAGTTTAGTCTGAGTGTGTGATTAAGGATCAGGACTCGGTGTGTGACTGAGATCAGGGCTCAGTCACACTAGAGAAAGAAGAGAAGCCAAGCTTTGCTTCTGCTTCTCCACAGGCCCCTGTGGGTATGGGTGTGTGGGTATGCGTGTGTAAGGGGTGGTGTTCGTCCTCCCTTAGCCCAGGGCCCAGAGCCCAGACCTCACCAGCAGGCAGGCTTCACAGCTGTTTTCCTCATCTGTTTTATGAGTTTTCCTATTGGAGTTCATAAACTTCCTTCGAAAGAACAAATTAGTAGCAGTTCTCAGGCTCCAGCACTGGAAAGCTGAATAGAAATCAGACACAAGTGGCTGCCACCCTCCAGCGGGTCTGACTTGACATTCATGGGACTTCTTGCGTGTCACTCCATCTCTCTGAGCCTCAGTTAGTTCATCTGTAAAATGGGTATGATGATACTGCCAATACCTACACGGCCTTCGAGGATCTCATGATATAGTATGTAGGAAGCACAGAGAGGTTGCCCAAGGAACACAACCTGTGGCTCTTTTTAGAAGGCCTGCCTCCAGGACCCTAACACTGTTACCCACTCTATTTCTGTTGCCCCACAGCTCCAGAAACCACAGTCTTGTCAGAGACCCAGGTCAAGGAAAGCCCCCAGAGACTAGAGATGAAGCCACATCTCCTCATTAGAAGCGAAGGGGAAGGGGTCATGCTTATAAACAATGCCTACTGTTGCAACAATGCAATCTTTCTGCTTTTTCTTTAAATCCACTCATCAGCTTGGCAGCATTTACACTCTCCTTTCACTTTTGAGGAAACTGAGGCTCAGAGAGGTAGAGGCAGTTGTCCCCCACCCCACTCTTGTTCAGCAGCACATGCAGGGTTTGAGCCCAGACCAGGCACGTCCTCTTCCTCACATCACTCTGGGCATCAGTTTCTGCTGGCATGACAAAGGAGAGCAGTAGATGCGCTCTGAGCCCACAGAGGCCCTCAGTCTGTGGGGACCCCTCTGGCCATCCTCTCATGACTTCCTCAGGACGAAGGGTCCTCAGCTTCTCCAGGGTCCCCTGACCAGACCTGCCAGTGTTGCAGGCATAGAACGGCATGCGCCCCCCTGTGAGGCTGCAGAGGGAGCCCCCACTGCTTTCCCAGGCTGTGACTTACCAATACGGTTCTTAACTTACTCCGTATCCAGGCTTTCAAGGAGGCTGCGGACTACTGGGCACACCTAAGGGTCACAAGGAAGGAAAGAGAGACACAGAGAGAGAGAGATGGAAAGAGGGAAGGAAGGAAAGAGGTCAGAAAGTAAGGAGGGAGAGGAGAGACGGAGAAGGAAGAGGACTGGTGATTACCTGCTGTGAGCACCCTGCCTGCCACCACAGAGATGCTCAGTATTAAAGCCTCAGGACTTCTGACTTCTTAGGATTCTGGAACAGTGGAAACCTAGAAGGCCCAAATCTGAGAACTAGAGGACACTAGGATCCTAAAACCTCAGAATGTTAGAATCCTAGAACCTTGAAGAATCTAGACTTTTAACATTCCAGAACCCTATGCCCTTAGAAACCTTGACCTCTGGATCCTGAAATTATAGAGTTTAATAAGGCCCTGGGAATCATAAAGAAGTGTTTTATGTTTTTCACACTTTTGTGTGCCTACAGTTCCCTGAGGATGTTGTTAAAATACAAATTACTGAGCAGCTGGTCTGGGGTATGATCTGAGTCTCCATTTCTGATGAGTGTCCACGGGAGGTCAGTACTGTTGGTCTGAGGAACACACTTTGAGCATGACTTAAGTTCAGTAAATCACAGAACAGCCTGGAGGATTTTGTTTTAATAAAGCCAGATTCCCACTCTCCTTACAGAGTGACTAATATAGAATATTTGGAATTTTGGGCACACTTATATATGGTTTTTATGTGATGCACATGAATCTGAGCTATGGTGTGTATAGTTTTTGTATTTAAATGAATTAAAATTGCATTGAATGAAGAAAAATATTAGCTAAAAGGTCTTCTGGCAGTCCATGGGTATGGTAAATGGTTCAAGTGTGGGACCCAGTGATTTCAACTCATGTCGGGCCCCTGTTCACCTCCTCCCCAGGCCAAGCTGAGTGAATGTGGGCAGGTAGCAACTGACTGCCCCAAAGAAAGCTGTACCATCATAAAGGAAGGTGCCAGAGAGTACAGCCCACCCAGGGAAAGTCATATCTGCCCCACCAGGCCTGACTGCACCCAGGAATGGAAAACTCACCTCTTAGTGCGTTACCAGAGACAACGCCTCTTCACGAGGTTGACCTCAGAGTTCACGACCCTGTTGAGTAAACTGGAGAAGAGAGGAAACTAGTAAAAGCTTGGTGAAATTGGCAGAGCAGCCAAGCAAGAGCAGTGGGAAGAGGGCAGAAGATGGTGGAGCACCGTGAAGTCAGGTGACTTGAGCTCCTACTCAGGGTGATCATCACTTTGAACTCCATGGTTGACCAACAGCTCATCCCAATAGCTCATGAGAATCTCATCACAAACCTGAGACCTCATCTATCCATCCATCCATCCATTCATCTATTGATTCTTCTATCCATCCATCCATCCTTTCTTCCATCCATTCATTCTTCTGTCCATCCAACCATTCTTCTATCCATCCATCCATCTAGTCATCCATTCATTCATCAACACATATTTAGAGAGCACCAACTATGTGCCCGGAACGAAACCCGACTGGGGACACAGTGATGAACAAAGCACAATCAGCTCCTAATGTAGTACCTAAATATTGGGTTGTCCAAAAGGTTCATTTGGAGTTTTTGGTAACAGTTTATGGAAAAACTGAAAAGACTTTTTGACCAATCCAATATTAAACACATTTCTAAGACTGGTTCCTTCCCACCTTCAACTCTCAGCATAACTGTCACCTCCTTGGGGAAGCCCTCGTGACTGCTTGCCTAAGGGAAGGCTTTGTGTCATAGCTCCCTGTTAGGTGTGTTGTTCTGCTCAGGAATGATTGCAATCAAACATTTTCCTTGTGGGCTCTTTACTATGGACTGAATGCACGCCTGCCTGCCTTTCCCTCCAGGTACCAAGGTCCAGGAGTGCAAGCTCCTTCTCTGCAGTCACCAGTAAATTCTCCATGTTTAAGATTGGTGATTGCCTGTCATAGAGCAGGTGCTCCACACATTTTTGGCTGACGGAACAAATGAAGTAAACATATGATTGAATATATAATGACAACTTGTGACAGGTATACAGAAGGGAGAGAGTAGAATATTAAAAGAGAGAAGAGGAGGAGACTTGTTTCAGACCCTAAGTGATGAGACATACATGGAAACTTGTTTCAGACCCTAAGTGATGAGACATACATGGAAATGGGATGCAGGAAAGGTGTCCTAGGTACCTGAGCAGCCTGTGCACAGGTCTTGAGTGGAAGGAGTTTGTCTGAGGCTCAGATAAAAGCTACCGGGTGGAGGGCAGAGTGGGCAAGATGTGGACCCAGATCAGGTAGAGCCTAGATGGCTCTGGGAGGGCCTGAGATTGCACCCAAGTGGAGAGAAGAGCCCCCAGAGGGTTTGGAGCAGCAGAGTGGAATGCCATTTCACAGATATGGACACAGACCTGGAAGGCAGGATGGTTTCCCTGGGGCTTTGGGCAAGGCAGTGTCCAGCAGGGCTCAGGCATTTGTACTTACAGCTCAGTCTTCTAAGTGATGGTATACTGAAGAGCCTATCTTTGGTTTTGGGGGGTCTTTAGTTAACCTGTGATCAGATCCCTTGTTGAGGCAGAATGGACTGACCTCTGCTCAGGGCTCAGACTTGTACTCTGCCAAGGCCAACCTGCCCCAGCCTTCAGCTTCCAGATAGTTTCTCCTCTCCCAGCCAGGACCAGGATCAGCCTTTCTCCTTATACCCTCTTCCCTGGGCTAAGCATGCTCTATCAAGCACACAGTTTAAGATGTAGATTTGGTGGGTTACCAGAGATCAGCGATTCAAATGGAAAGGATTCAGTTTTCAAGATCTCATTTTGGGAATTTCCCAGTGGATTGAGTATGGTTTGGGAACAATCTGAAATTAAGGCCCTTGGTAGGCATTTAATGCTCCTCTTGTCATCTCCTAGCTAGAGGCAAGAAGGTAAACACAGCGAATTATTATTATTATCATTATTATTGTTTAGGGGCATTATGCAATATGAGAAGGGCCAGTTCTTCAGATAGACCAAGCAATGTTACTGCATCTAATGTAAACGTGCTTGCATCTATCAACAGAGCTCCAAAAAGCATGTAGCAAAAACAGTTAAAGCTAACAGGTGAAATACACCAATTCACAGTTATGATTGGAGAGGTCAACAGTCCTGTCTCAGTAAGGGAAAGAAACAAGAGACAGAAAGTCAGCATGGATGTTATTATTACTGAGAGCTTACTATGTTGCAGGCTGTGTGCTAAACACTGGCATTTTCTCATTTAGTCAACACAGTAGCCTACAAGTTTGGTATTATTACCATCCTCCATTTATGGATGTGAAAACTGAAGCTTCTAGAGGCTAAATTGATTACAAAAGCACAAGGGAGTGGCAAAGTTAGTTTGACTCCAGAGTCTGACCTCTTCTTTACCTCTTCTTCCCTCCCAGGTAAAGAATAGCAGAAATTAACTATCCCAGTTCCTCTGAGATCCCCGCTCTGCTGAGATGTGTGGACCTGACCTTCCCAGCACGGTGAATGAGACGCTGTTTTGATCATTCCTGCATTCTTCCATGACCACCTTGGAGACACCAGTCTTGGTATCATTTTCAACTCTGACACTAAACTTGAGAACCAAGTTGAGGTCCAGGTGGACAATCTCACCCAACAGAGTCCTGCAGGGAAACAGATTCACAGTGAGCAGAGGTGAAGTCCTTCACATTGCCCACTTTAGCCTCTCTCTTATGTGAATATTATACAGGATGTCTATGGACAAGGACGGGGAAGCCTGGTGTGCTGCAGTCCATGGAGTTGCAAGGAGTTGCACAGGATTTAGTGACTGAACAACAAATGGACAATGTCAATATTGTCTGTATTCTTTATGAAATCAACATTCTTATATTAGGAGTTTCTTCTCCTGGCCACAAGAGTTTGACTCATGTGAATTTTATAGAGTGATCAAATTGTCAAATTATCACCAATGATCAAAATTAACTTGAGTTAACATTTCTTAAGCAAAATGCTTCATTAGGCATTTCCAAAAAAGTATTTTACCTGGATTAATCCATTTAATCTCAACAGCAATACCATGAGAAAAAAGCACTGTCATTATCTCTGTTTTCAGAATGAGGAAACATATTGTAAAGAAAAGTTTAGTAAGTATCTCGAGATCTCATATTTAATGAATGATGAAGTCATAGTGCACTTTAATGTGTAAGACTCTTCTACACATCTTCATTTTCCTATCTCTTTGTATCTTCAAAGTAATTACTTAGAAATTGTATTTTCCATATAATTTTCACATGCTCTTCATTACATATTGTGCACTACTATATGGCCCCTATTGGTCACTGCTATTTAAAGAGAGCCTTGAGATAAAAAATGATGCTGGAGGAAACTTTGCCTAAGAGTTATGTGGTCATGTTGTCTCAATTCTCAAGTTTTATAATTAGATGATGTTACAATTTTGGAAATATATTTCATGGAGGACTTTTTTAAAAGAGATTTGTTTCTGGGCAAAGTTCCTTAGAACATTTTAAAGGTTAGGATTTAGGAGTTGCAAAGGCATCCTTATTTTACAGATGGGGAGACTAAGGCAAGTGGTGTGAAAAGTGCCTGATTCCAGATTGGAGACCTATTGACTGCACCACACTGCCTCTCCCAAACCTTGGATTTTAAAGCATACTCACGGTTTCACAGTGATGTCAGCAGTGATGGGGATCTTCACGTCAGTGCTGTTCTCAAAAGTTGCATTCAAGAGAACAACAATGAAACATGTATATTATCTAGGGTGAAACAGATCACCAGCCCAGGTTGGGTGCATGAGACAAGTGCTTGGGCCTGGTGCACTGGGAAGACCCAGAGGGATCGGGTGGAGAGGGAGGTGGGAGGGGGGACTGGGATGGGGAATACATGTAAATCCATGGCTAATTCATTTCAATGTATGACAAAAACTACTGTAATGATGTAAAGTAATTAGCCTCCAACTAATAAAAATAAATGGAAAAAAAAATAAATAAAGTGATATCCAGGGTGTGCAGGTTACTGATATTCACCCTGAGCAAAAAACAAATTCACCGTTGTTACTTCTCCTGGCTACCATTGCTGGGCTCTTCTCTATGCCACCATTGTGCTGAGCAGTTGAACCTCATGGACCTTGCCAGCTTTGGTCTCATGAGAGCCCTGCTCAGGGGTTGGATTCTCTCCACTGGATGGCATGGCAGACCGAGGATCAGACAGCTGCGATTTCCCTCAAGACTCCAAGCGTGAATACATGCCAGAGCCAGAATTTTTTTTTTA